CCCCCCGTGTCTTGAACTGATGGAGATGATGATGGAGTGATCCTTGTTTGAAGGGGAAGCAGTGGATAACGAAAATCTACATATTTTTGAGAAACAAAATGAGGGTAGAATGAGTATGATGGAAATTGAAGTAGTCAAAATAAGTAAAGATGCCGGTTCTGTTACCTCCTTTCAGTGTAGGTTACTCAATCTGAAAATGTATCACCATATTGTTCAGCTGTAGCAAGGGCACTGCATTGTGGAAATGATCTTATTTTTACCTGGTTTTGTAGGTACAATTTAGTCTGGATTGTGCTCTTAAGTGCGCTATGGTATTACTTGAAGTTATCGTTCTGTTTATATTATGTTTGTTTTTTTTGCCATGGAATGTATCTCAAATTCAAGTTTTAGTCCACATGTTATGACAATGGTGTGTTTCTATGGACTTCAGTGCACGCTGCGATCATCGCCATCAACGAGGCGGTGGATCAGCAGGTAGCCGCTGATACCTACACAGCCATGCAGAACCCGTCTGCCATGCTGGTGAACCTTGACTCTGAGAATGTGGAGCAGTATCAACAGTTGCTTTATGAGGCCAAGAATGTCAAGGCAGAAAATGCGAAGAACAAGGTAAGCCTTCATTTTATTGTTACTGTTGTGTATGTGTGTGTGTGTGTGTGTGTTTGTGTGGGTGTGTGTGGGGGTGGATAGGTGGGGTCCGATAGATTTAGACTGTTACAGATAAGCAAAGAGTCCATAATTCATCTGTTGTGCCTATTTGCGACCCTGAGAAGAGTAGTTCTCACCAGGGTCCCCACCTCCTTCGGGTCAGGTGTGAAGCAGCCAAGTTTCCCTTTGTCCTCCGCGAATCACTGCTATCTGCTGAGCGGAAGGTCATGTTGTGTTGTTGCAAATATAAGTCTCACTTGTGCGGAGGTTCCTAGACATCTGTTTTGAAGACTGGGGTGGTCTATTCTGTGATAGCTTCTTCTTTTATTTTTCATGGCTTCATTTCTGTTGAGTTGGTTAATTTCCTCGCTGTTTGTCTGCGCAAATTTTTCCCCATGAGAAAGCTGGACATAAATCACAAACAAGCACACTCTGTTATGGCTATTGACAAAGAATACTGCAGGGACAGGGTATTGGTGGTTGGTTGGTGAGTGTTCTGGTTTGGTTCACTACTTCTTTCCTATCAAACATCTGTCATCCAGCGGGTGGTTGGCGGGTGCTCTGGTGTGGTCTGCTTCTTCTTTCCTATCAAACATATATCGTCCTTATCTCCCCTTCTTCTTTTTTCTGTTTGTTACTCTCTTGTAACACCTCTAATCTTCTGGCACTCATATGACCTTATGCAGTTGCGAGCGCCGTAAAACCTCTACTAAAACATAAACATCTGTCATCCTTATCTTTCCTCCTTTTTTGTGTTTGTTACTCTTTAAAGACTCATCTAATCTTTGGCTCTTATATGATCTGCTTGTGTTGCAAGTGCTGTAAAACTATTACTGAAACTATACAGGGTATTGCCCCCCCCCCCTGCTGTTTGATGGATTTTGTGATAGAACGATGGAAATGTAGCTGATATCTTTTTCTGTGATTCTGATCATTTATAACTCACGAAGTGAAATTCCTGACAACTTAAATATCTTCTTCTGTGCTTGAATTGTAATAATGGGTTACTAAAAAAAAATAGTAAGACTTAGTGTTTTTGAGTACAGTATAGGAACTATACTTTTTTCAATTGGCGTTTGTTTATAGTTTTTGTTCTCACGCTTTCTCTTTTTACTTTCAGAGTATAGACCCTGACAGCACATACGAGCACGATGTCTACGATGAGCTTCTCACCCAGGCAGAAATCCAAGGCAACGTCAGCAAAGTCAATAGTAAGTCATTGTATATTTGTCCTTGTGTGGTACCTTCCTCAGTTCACTTTGCTCTCACGGGTACGTTTGGTTAACTGTCGGTGTTGCATTTGGATGGACGAATTAACTGGAATGAGAGCCTATTCAAATTATTTGTTACAAAAGACTTTTCCATGAAAAGACAGGTACATTTTAAGCTCATTACAGTGGTGTAATTTAAGATTTTCAGTGATGTAAAATATGGTTGCTGAAATGGTATGACAGCTATCATCTTTTCCTCCCCTTGCTTTTAACCTGTTTTCCTTCAATTTTTGTTTGTGTTCAAAACTGCCTACCTCCTAAATTATGTAAATTGTGGTGATGGGTCGTAAAATCGTCTACATTAAAAAAATTATTTTATATTTTGTACTCATAGCTCAAAATAACCTTACCGGGTTAAAAGGGGTTTTAAGCATGCTGTGCACCTGACACTGCTATTATCGTATAATTGTTCGAACCCCTTTCTAGAAACAACACTTTCAACAGCGATACTGGCATCAAGGATTTTGTGCTTCCAGTGTCACCGTAATCTCACACTTTCCTCAGCAAATCAAGCCCTGATCAAAGTAGATGCTGCGTTCCTGAGTGGAGACAGGGATGCCCTGCTGGCAGCTCTTCAATCCCCTGCTCTGGGGCTGAAGAATGTGAACCCTGACAATATTGACTTCTACATTGCAAAGTTGGCCCTGCTTCGTCTAGGGAAATCTGAGGTATGTTGTATTTTTACTTCCAATTTAACAGTATTCTATGAATGTGTGAGGAATTGCATTTAGACCTTTTTCAAGATTACTTTCTTATCTGCGGATGTCTTTTTTGACATTCAAGTTCATGAGCAGAATGACTGTGTTTTATTACTCATTTCCCTTTCTTGTCTTCTTTCTTTTTGTAATGTATTACGACATATGCTTTGCAATTAGATCTTCAAAATGATTGGCAAACATTGATGACGCTGTGTAAATTTGCATAGTATTTCTTAATAATATCCTTATATCAAAATGTTAAGTTGTATCTTATTGTTGATGTCTATGTTGTCCGCAGAGCGCTGAGGCTGACATTGCCCTCAGTAAAGATGAGATTCAGAACGCTGTGAATGAGGCCAACTTGGAGGCTGACTCAGAGTATCAGAGTGAGTAATACCTGCTATCTCTCATATTGATAGCTTTTTTCATTTGTTTTCTGTTTTAATGTAACTTCTGTTTGTTTTCATTAAAACTTTTATAGGGCATTATGTAATATAGTACAAGTAGGCTTTGGTTGTTAAGCTTCTTCGGATCAAAACAACACCCACCCCCCTGTAGTGCAATGGGTAATACATTCTGGCACTACTATCTGGACTGTCTAACCTTCATTCTTTCCTTTCTAAAGATTCAGTGCTTACCACCTTTTTAGATACTGTGGACATGGTTAATCTGTGTGAAATAGACAAGTGAGACAGATTAAGGAGCTTAGCTTTTTCCTTAAAAATGTGGCTTCCTAAGTATTGTGGTTAGGCTTTCAGACTTACTATTGTAAGGTCGCAGTTTCGGATCCTGGTCTGGTTTGACGTTCCATCTGTGGGGAAAGGCACTTTCACAAATTTTCCTCATTCTACTCAGATGAGAATGGGTAGACAGCTAAAGACTTTGACAGATCTTGTCAGTGTGTGTCCGGACACTTGTAAAATGACAGCTTGTACTGAATACTTTTCAGAAAGCCGAGAATGTTTTTGATTGTTAAACGTTTTGTTGGAGAAATAAATTGTAAAGAGGAACAGAGCATACTTTCTGACAGGAATATATGACATACAAGTGCATTTTGTGGTTAATGTCATCATCATTATCATTGTTATTATTGGTGATATTGTTTTATATACTTTCTCATTCACAGAGTCTCAGATGGTGCTGAATGTGAACCAGGCTTTATCCTCACGTGACGCGGAACTGCTGATGAAAGCATTGCAGAACCCGACCCTCAAACTGGGAGGCATTCACTCCTCAGCCGCTCAGCTCTACGTGGAGGAACTGGCGAGCATGAGGGAGGAGAAGGGAGAGGACCTGGACTTCAATGACATTGAGGCAGCTCTCAAGGGTGAGGATTATTTGCTTGATACACTCCTTGGAATTCTAAATTAGTTTTTCTAAATTTGTAGTGCTTTTTAACATTTTTGCATCCTCTACAATTGTCTTTTTTCCATTTCATGCTCGATGATGTCAATGTCTTTTGTGAAGGTACAGTGTAATAAGATTCATAAATGGGAGCCCTGCACTAAACATTCCCATGTGTAATCCCTTGATTTGTAGTTTGAGTTACAGATTGTTCCAAGAAGTTCGAGTTGCTTTTTATTTTTTGAAACATCTTTGCACAGGAGTGGAAAATCAAGATTGTATTACATAATATGGATGTTGGTAAAAAGAGAGAAGTTTTACAGCTTGGTGTTTTATTATCAACACAGGCAATTAGGCTGCAATACAATGAGATTAGCGTGTGCTGTCATTTTGATTGAAATACTGAATTAATCACTGCCAAGATATATAGATTTTGGTCTGTCGGCAAGGAAAGGGCTGTGTTTTGGCTGATAAGAAGTAGAAGAAGCAGACAACTTTTGAAAGCTTACCAACTTCTGCACAGGGTGTTGGGGAGAAATAAAGAAAACGAGGCCACATGTTTGAGGGGTTTCTACAATGAAGCTGTTTACAAGCCGTACCTGGGATAGCCCGTCCCGTTACTGTTTTCCTTATTTGATTATTTCTGTGTCCTCAGTGATTGCTGCTGTTGTGGCTATCAACAAAGCCATCGATGCCGGTGACCCCCATGTGACCTTCACTGCTCTTCAGGAACCAGATGCTCACATCCTTGACCTTGATGAATCTATTGAAGAGAAATATCAGACCAACCTGGCTACACAGAAGTCTAACAAAGCAGACGTAGGTTTTTCCACTCACAAATCTGAATATACTCAACTGCAGCTGTTATTTAGATAACCCCACTGGCATTGACATAAACATTTAAGAATCAAGCTTATTTTTTAATGAAGGGTAAATAACAGCATTAAGTTATTGGTTTGAAGTACATAATTTAAATATGCAGTTGATTGCCTGTACAAAAGTATATGGTGAGGAGTATTCTCTTGTTTTGCATTAAGTTATTTTGTCAATTTATGTTGTGCGTGTGTCTTTGTTTCATGGTGTAATACTTGTTTGTCATTTACCTATTCCTTGTTTTGCCAGCAACCCAATGACCTGCTAACCCATGGGGAGATACTGGCTTGTATTGAAGGTGTGCACACTCAAGTCCATGAAGAACATGAAAGTAAGTTTTTAAAAGTCCAGTTAATCAGCCCGATCTTCTAGTTCATGATGACTTTTTTCTTCTTCTATATTTTGTTTAATGCCTGTCATGGTGTCTCTCCTCATTTTTCTTCTCTATGAAATGTCGTTCTCTGTGAAGAATGTAATGGTTTTTTGTTTTGTATTTAGGTTGAACATAAATAATTATTCTTTTTAGGGACTGTGAAGGGTAGCAGCCTGAATGAATTAAGTAACTTTGTCAATTTATATTTTGAGAGATGTATCTGGATTCATTTAGAATGTGAATTTTTCTTTTCTACACAAAGTCTAGTGCCACATATTGAATACAGATTTTCTTTGTGAATTATTTTCTTACCATGAAAAGTTTTGTCATGGACTCGTTTGTTCCATTCAGACTATCTGTTGTGATTTTCAAGCTTTTCTTTTTGCTGATTCTAGCAAACCAAATGTATAGGTTTGAGTGCTCATTTTGTAAGGTCTGTGTTAGTTTTTTTGCAACTGTCAGCAGCTTATTTATTTATGAAGTGTTGTGATTTTACACCATCTTTTAGATATTGTGGTGTTTTGGTTCATGAAAGTAAAAAAGTGAGCCCTCCAAACAAATAAGAAACCCCTTACAGAGCCAAAAAAAAGTCACAAGCATTGAAAGAGACTAAAGTACAGAGTAAAACGCAAAATAAAGGCTTGAAGATCATGTTTCATTTTTTTTTTAATGTGCAAGAACGAGATGTGACCTTTTCTTTAGTTAGCCTCACTTGCGTTTCCCATGGTACTGTTTCTCCAGGAATTAAAGCTATCACCCAGATCAACGAAGCTATTGACAAAGGTGAGGAGGCAGAGACAGTTCAAGCATTGCAACTATCAGCTGCCAAACTCCGCGACATTCAGCCTGAACAGGCCCTTCATTATCAGATTCTGCTAGCCAGACAGAAAGACAAGAAAGCAGAGGTGAACTTTTCTTTATTATTAGAAATTGGTTGTGTAAGTGATAAAGCAGCTGTTTGTTACCTCAAAAGATCGCAGGCTGACGTACTGAAACCTATTTGTCTGTGGTAGATTGTTTTAGTTTTGAGTGGTTCTGGTACTGTTTTTGATTTTCTTGGTGCAAATTTTCATACTTCTGATATTGTGTACTGGCATGTGGAGTTTCAGTTAATTAATTTTCGCATAGAGGGTTTTGTAGTGAGTGATGTATGGGGGGAGGGAGAAGGGCTGCTCTGAGGCTGTGAAAGGGTGGACAGTTAAACTGATGATAGTCCAATGTTTCATGCAGATGGTCTCATAGACCTCATTGCCAGCATATTTGGAGGCTGGAGTTATTTTATACTTTGTTTTCCTTGAATGGGCATATCATCACTTTGATCAGCCTGAATACACTGCAGGTACCTCTGGTTATTGATGAAGATATTCTTTTTGAAACAGATTAGGTTATTTTGACTCACTTAAAGAATACTCTGGTACTGGTAGGTTTTACATTATTTTCTTCTGTTGTTTATGTCTGTATGTTTTTCTTGCTCTTTCCCACAGCTAATTGACTGCTTTTGTGTTCATGTGCTTCTCTTTACTCAAAGCATTGAGATAGGACTGTTTGAATGATTGTCTGGTTGTAACGTCTAGTCGTTTGGATTTTCAGGATAACAATGATGATGCAGCTGTCCTGTGGCTGGAGGAGATCCAAGCCTGTGTGGACAAAGCGAATGCGAACTGCCAAGAAGGACTGAAGAGTAAGAGCACATAGCATTAGTATTTCTCTACATGGTCAATAGCACATTTTTTGGTGCAACCTCTGCTTCATATTGTCTTACTGTTTGTACTAATGTGTCACATGAATAGCAGGTGTAATTAATGAAGGTATTCTTTTTTAATGGATTAGTTGATTATGTGACGTTCTTTGTCATCGTAATGTGGTATCAAGTTGTTGTCACATATATCAGAACTGTATCTATTTGTGAGGAATTCTTTCCCTTTCCACTAGCCTTTGGACAATGTTTCCGAATCAGGAATGAAAGAAAAAAATGCTGATTTATTCCATGGTTTGTCTGATGTGCAGTGTCTCGAGGCGTCGCTTCTGTGAACCAAGCTCTGAAGGAAGATAACAAGGAGGCTCTTTTGACGAGCTTGACCTCATCTGAAGTGAACGTCCACAGCGTCACAGGAGACTGCATAGAGGGTTACCAGCAGGCCTTGCTGGCTGCTGTGCAAGAGTCGTCCAAAGAAGGTGAGTGTGTGTGTGTGTGTGTGTTTTCTCCTCTTTGTTTTTGTCATAAAGGTTCTATAGCCAGCGATGTAACTTTTTCTCAGTCAGTTCATTTTATGTTACTGTATATGCTTTTGTGTAGTAGATGACTTTGGTTTATAAAGGTTGAAAAAGAATGTACTTTCTACCATAGTCTTTGTTAAACAGCCACAAGCGTAACATCCCCTTGTTGAAATGTTGTCATGGGTTGTTGGTGGGTTCTCTGGTGTGGTTTGCTCCTTCTTTCCTATCAAACATTCTACCATCCTTACCTCTCCTCCTTTTTTGTGTTTATTACTCTCTTGTAACACTTCTATTCTTCGACACCTATATGACCATATTGTGGTCCTTTTTTTTTTAATAGGAAAGGATTTTACGGCGCTCGCAACTGCATAAGGTCATATGAGCGCCAAGTATTGTGGTCCAGGTGCCGTAAAACTTACTAAAACTGAAATGTTGTCTTGCTTTATTACAGTCGGTGGAAGTGCACAACACTGTTGGATAGTCTGAAATATTATTGACCTGTACGTTTTATGCTAATATTTTTTTCTGAGATCTGTTTTTCATGAAATTTTTCTAAGGTGTTCAGGGGTAGATGAAACACATCTTCTTCTGGTAGGAAATTTGACATCTTGAAGTAACTTGTGGTGTTTATCTCTTTTCCCAGGTGAGACCGGCAGTGGCTGGATGATGAACAGGCTGAAGGATGGCACCAAATTCTTCTACAACATTGAGACCGGAGCTCATGCCTGGACTCGTGGAGACAACATCATTAAGGACTACGCTCTACTCAACAAGGAAGATATTCAGGTAACTTTCAAGGCTTGAGATGGTGTATTGGCTGATCTCGACTTGACTTTCTCAATCCAGCAGTCACTTAAACTTGTGCTTTTCAGTTGGATGCCATGATATAACATAAACAATTCTTTTAATTTGTCTTAAGTTGTTTTACAGGAAAGTAATGTTTTTTCTGATGCCCAGGATTTGATGATAATAGCTTTATTCAAAGATCTAAGAGACTTAAAGGATCAAAGAGGTGTCCTTGACTTCAATCTTTTTAGATTGGGTTTACCAAAAACTGCTAGAAAGAAAGGGAATTTCGCATAAGCTGACCCTTTTTGAGTTCGCACTTTTTAAAATCATATAAGTAGCATCAGTATATATGATATGTAAAGATGTCCTGGGGGAAAAAAAAGAATAGACTTGGAAAAATTCTTACCACCCATACTTCAGGAAAGAAAATGATGTGCATATAGAAACATTTGTTCAGCATTACTGATGCTACTTTCAACCTAGCAAATTTTAAATGAGAAAAATTTCACATGCCAGTCTGCCAACGTCATCTTCAGCAATAAGTGTTGTTTGAATCCTGTGATTTGCCTTTCTCACGCAGTTTCTTTGATATCTTTAACCTTCAATTTGTGGTTACTGTATTTAATCATGTTTAAAAAAAAAGAAAGAATATGTACACTAAATTATTTGTGTCAACATGAAGTAAAATAAAGCATTGGGGTTACTCTTCCTTCCATAGAGGGTAGTGTCTGAAGTGACAGCTGAGTACGACAGAGAGATGCTGTTCAAGTCAAATGAAGGTCTCATCACCAAGATCCAAGCAAACGTTCGAGGTCACCTGGCAAGGAAGGCGTACAAAGAGAGGAAGAACTTCATGAATACACAGCTGCCCGCTATTCTCAAAATTCAAGTGAGATTTTTTATTGTATAGGAAAGACATTTGTGTGATGTGGCTGATTATTGAGGCTGATCAAAAGAAAGAAAAAAAAGGAATCTTTTTTATGTTTTATGTTGTATTTTTGGGGGAAGGAAATAATAATAATAATAATAAATAGCATTTATACTGCGCATTTCCATTTCCTGAAAGATGCTCAATGCGCATTACAATGAAAAAGACATCACATCTTAAAAATTAATCGACACAAATGTGTACGTAAAACAAAGTATTATACATATAATATAAATGCATATGTGTAAAATTTTATACCAGAAAAACAGTCTCGCAGTGAGGTTGAAAATGTGTTCACTAAAAATATACAATGCAATATAAATTCACGAACAGTCAAAATACAGTTGAAACGTGAGTAACTAGAAACATTCATTAAAACATTAATTCTATACAGATAGAAAAACATTTCCACTCTATCTCTCTCTCTCTCTCTCTCTCTCTCTCTCTCTCTCTCTCTCTCTCTCTCTGTCTGTCTCTCTCTCTCTCTCTCTCTCTCTCTCTCTCTCTCTCTGTCTGTCTCTCTCTCTCTCCCTCTCTCTCTCTCCCTCTCCCTCTATCTCTCTCTCTCTTTCTCTCTCCCTCTCTCGCTATCTCTCTCTTTTCTCTCTCTTTTCTCTCTCTATCTCTCTCTTTTTCTCTCTCTCATTCTCACTCGCTATTTCTTCAGTCTCACAGTCTGGCATACACATGCATATATATCACAGTACATCATTATGACAGGTAAGCTTTTGTGAATAAAAAATGCTTCAGCTGATTTTTGAAAATGGAAATTGTTGGGGCAGATCTTATTTTATATGGGATTTCGTTCCATACCTGGGGACCAAAGAACAAAAAGGAACGCTCGCCGTATGTTTTGTAGTTTTGTTTTGGAGTTTTAAGAATTAGATTGTCAGAGGCTGATCTAAGGGCTCTAGGTGGATTATATAATTCCAGGAATGTTTTAAGATAAAAAGGTGCACTATCATTTATACATTTAAAACAGAGAACGGCAGTTTTGTATTTAATCCTTTCTTTTATTGGCAGCCAGTGTAGTTCTTTCAGAATTGGTGTTACGTGGGCTGATTTCTTTTGTTTCATTATCAATTTTGCTGCTTGATTTTGAAGTACTTGTAACTTTGATAGTTTTTCGGATGTCAAACCGGACAAAATAACATTACAGTAATCTAACTTTGATAAAATGAGTGTTGTTACAAGTGTCTTGGCTGCTGCTTTAGTTAAATAATTTCTTACACTGCCAATTTTCTTAAGCTGAAAGTAAATACTTTTGCTGAGCTGGCTTATTTGGGAGGACATAGACATATCATAATCCGACTGAACCCCTAGATTTTTAAGACTTCTTTTTGAACGAAGGAAAAATAGTTAGAATAACTTACGCTTCTGTGGATTTTAGGATTCTTCAGTTACGTAATGAAAGTTAGTAAAACGTAATGAAAGCTTTTGCATAAATTGTCTGTTACGCTTTAGGTCTTATATTTATTTTTTATTGAGAGAATTATTGTTACAGTTGATTTATTGTTTCCACAGGCCTGTTGGCGAGGTGCAAAACAAAGGCACAAGTACAAGGATCGTGTGAATTTGCTTAAAGACAACACAGATTCTGTCATTTTGGTAAGAACAACAGTATTTTAGTTAGGCCCTGTTGCACTGAGCATGCATGTTATGAATACGTTTTGTTTAATTTTTTACCTTTGGCCTTTAGATTTGGTGGTGGTGGGGGCTGGCTCATTTTGAGTTTGTTTTGCAAATGTACATTCAGGGAAGTTAACCACTTTGGTGAGTTCACAGAATTTGAAATTCAGTGCACGCTTGCTAAAACAGACATTTTTAAACTTAATTGTAGACAGATAAGACAATATGTGGGTGAAGATCAGGATTGTGTGTGTCGGAGATGACTCTGCGTATTGCACTTTTCACTTGCTAATGGCTGACATATCATCCGTCAGTGCTGAGAAAGCCTTTTCTTTGAGCATGAACGTCATGTTGGCCAAAAAATAGGAGTTATTCCATGATTTATGTGGCCATTTTTTGTCATGGTATTTTTAGTCATACAAGGTTACAGGGATCAAGTTCTTCTGTGTTCAATATAAACTATTAATATCAATTTACTTAGTCTATGGGCTAGAAAAGGACCACCACCTGTGCAAAGTCAGTTGTAACGAGGGTGCACTGTATTGTTCATTTTGCCCATGAGTGTTTTTAATGAATATGCCTTGTTTCTAACACTTACATTAAAGAATGCTGCATTCTCCTCTCCTCAGCTTCAATCCTATTACAGAATGTGGAAAGCAAGGACAGCTTACAGGAACAGACTGAAATATTTCAAAGACAATGTAAGTCGACTTTGATTTTGAAATAAATGATGAAATAATGATTTATCTTTTTTTGCATCTGATGTCTTAACTTATAAGTATTTTTTAAAATCTGTATGTGTCTCAACATCTTTTACAGACATATTCCAATTACAATTTAAGGTTTGTGGCAAAATAATTTTATTTTTGTTTTTTCTTAAAGAGGCTAAATAGTTTGTTAGTTTGCTTTTGTGCTTTGGGTAAAATTTTTGCAGCCAGTATTTCGTTTGTCTTGCAGGAAGATGCAATCGTCAAAATACAAGCATACTTCAGGTCCAACTTGGCACGGCAAGATTACAAAGCCCTTAGTAAGTAGAACAGTGTTTGGTCTTTTTTAAAATCATTTTTTAGAATTCTAGAAATCACAAAACTTTCTTTTTGTGATATTCTATGATGTGAATGTCCTTTTAATCTTTGTTATGGTAAGGTTCATCTCACTGGAAAAGAGAATACTTTTATGTTCCCACAGCACTGTATTCGCGTCGAGTCTGAACGATCATGGGTTTGGTTCGTTTCTGGGTTGGTAAAGATTTTATGTTCCCTAGAAAGGCTTTTGGCTCTAAGGGATTTACTTGATGGTGAACTGAACAGTCAGGCTAAGGATTGGCCTTGAAGAGAGCTGAATAAAAGACAAACTAAATGCGGAGAAAAAGATGGCATATCATGCCTGAGAGGTTTTTGAGTATGAAAAGTGTGTGCGTGCGTGCGTGTGTGCGTGCGTGCGTGCGCGCAACTGTTGATTGGATGGTGGACTATTTTTATGCCATGGCCTGCTCTTGGTGGGCAATGTGCTAAGATGGGACAGGAAAGGTAGCACAATTTGATTTGTCTCTTGTTTTCTATGATCGAATTGAAAAAATCTCACAAACTTAAACAATTATATTCTCACTATTTGTTTCTGCTCTCCAAGGGGGTTTGTAAAGTAATACAATTTCTACTGTTTGTTTGTCTTGTTTAGTCCTGACATATTTGCCTAAAATCTCTTTTTTGCGTCTTCATTTTTCAGCTACAGATGATAATCCATCTCTTGGTGTTGTGAGAAAATTTGTTCACCTCCTGGATGCAAGTGATAATGATTATTCTGAAGAATTAGGTATGTTAAGCCTTTCTCTGTTTTATGCATTAAAAGAAATATGAGTTCTCAATTGTTTTTCATAAAGGAAATGTACAGGCAGCAACACCCAGGTACATTCTTAAACAGTGACTAACAAAATGTGTGGTTAGAGAGAGCCAACGGAGGGTTCCAATCTTCCCTCTCTCCTCGTCTGGTGTTTTGTCTGGTGTCATGTAGTAATATTAATTTTCTGTTTTGCTGTTTGGTACTGTACCAGCCCTGTAAAGTAGGGTCAGTCAGAATTAAGTTTTTTTTTAAGTGTCCATGACAATATATATATGGGAGGCATGCTAACAAAGTGAGTTACTCCTCAGATTTGAGCCACATGGAAATAGATAGGACGCTTATAGGTGAAGTTTTTACGTTTTATAAGTATAAAATGATAAAGGACAGGTTATAGTTAAAGACTATGGCATCAATAGAAAATCTGCAAATTTGTGCCTAATGTCGATTTTAGCCAATGTCTCCATTTGTGGATTGCGAGAAATAGCTCATTTTGTCAGCACGCCTCATATATATAAATAACATCAGTACATGTTCTCTTCGTCCCCTGACGTGCAGAGCTGCAAAAACTGCGCCAGCAGGTTGTGGCTGAGATCCGATCGAACCAGCAGCTGGAACAAGATCTTGACCAGATGGACATCAAGATCGGCCTGCTCATTAAGAACAGAATCACCTTGCAGGTAAAAGCTTATTGCTGTGGTATTTTGAGCGTATCACTTTTCCTTGTTGAACTTGGGTTAAACTGGGTTTTTTTGTGGAGACTGAATCAGTCAATTTGAATCTTGGAGATGGAGAGTATTGATATTATAGTCTTTGATGCTATATTCACAAGCTTTTTCTTTCCATTTTTATTCTATTCTTACAAATGTGGCTTTGTGAAAATTACTATCTTTTTCAATATATGTCCTGTGACATATTTTAATGTGGTTTTAAAGTTTTGACATGGGGTGAGGGGTTTGCAGGTGCTTTGGTGTGGTTTGACCTTTCTGTCCTATTTAAAAAATCTGTTCTTATCCTTCATCCTTTTCTTTGTATGTTACTCTTAAGTAACACCTCTGATCTTCAGCACTCATAGGACCTATTTCTTTTGCAAGTGTCTTAAAACTCTTACTAAAACTAAACTAAAGAAGTTTTGACTATAGCTTTTGGTCTGTTGCCGTGCTGTGCTTCATTAATGTGGGTATTATCATTTCATAAATATATTTGATGAAATAGAGGCTAGGTTTCAATATCTGTGAATGGCTTTGGAGTATTGTCAGTAATCTTCCTTCTCTCCCATCAGTCTTTCTACATCTGTCTGTCTTGCTTCTGTCCTCGTGCGACCTGACCATTTTTTGTGCCAATATAAATTTTATATTGCTGAACCAACTTGTCTCCGTGCTGCCTCCTCTCCCCTCCAGGACGTGGTGACCCACAACAAGAAGCTGACCAAGCGCACGTCGGACGACCCCCAGCTGCGGGGCGGCGGCCTCAAGGCCCTCAGTAAGGAGAACCACGAGCGGCTGGAGACCTACCAGCACTTGTTCTACCTGCTGCAGACCTGTCCCAACTACCTGGCTAAGCTCATCTTCGAGATGCCCCAGTCCCGCACCACCAAGTTCATGGAGGCCGTCATCTACTCCCTGTTCAACTACGGAGCCAACCAGAGGGAGGAGTACCTGCTGACCAAGCTGTTCCAGACTGCGCTGGAGGAGGAGATCAAGTGAGTGGCTCGTGTTGTGTCCTTGTTCTCTGTGAACTACCAAGGGAGTAGGGGTCAGAGCAGGAGGTGCAATGAGCTTATCAGGGTGCCAGAGTGCATGAGAGCACAAAAGTGGAAAAGTTTGTCTTTTAGTATAGATGTATTTATGAAGACACTAGGAAAAACTTTGACTGCTGAAGTTTGTACTGTGTTATAAAGGAAGTGTAGGTGGCTTCAGTTTGTGTTTCATTATGTATACAGGATCTATAGACTGGGCGTGCTGGAAGCTTAGTTGGTATCAGGTTGAATTGTTCAGATCTCCAACAGGCCATTCTTGATTGAACTGCGGACCATTTTAGAAGTTTCTATGTTTCTTGAATGTAAGAGAGCTTCAACCTTTTATTTACCTTGTGTTCTTTTTGGATTGAAAGAGGTATTGAAGCTAAAATGATGTCGTAGTAAGTCTATACAGTCTATAGACTCTGTATAGAACAGTTAGATGATATAATTGGCATATTTTGTTGCGCCATTTCAGTGACACGTGATGGGCTGTCATTGCACCCTCTGCCTTGTTCCTATTTCAGTGGTTAATCTCATAGCGCTGACTCCCAACTGGTTTCTTCATGCTGTTTGGGACTGTTGAAAATATTTCATGTTTCCAAACCCTTTCCTTAACATAATTTTCCCCTGTGGAGCCAATGTTTAACTGAACTGGTTCTTTGTGGACCTGAAGTGACTAAAGTCATTGTGTCCTACTGCATCTTTTGTTACAAGGTTTATTACTATTTAACTCCCCAACATTTTGTTCCTTGAATCTAGTCTAATACTTTTGGAAAACGCTCAAATGCAATCATTTAACCTCTTCGTGTAGTCAAATTCCCCATCTCAAACAAATGGTTTGTTTGCATGTTGCTCGCCCCTAACCTGCCAGAGATGTAGTAATGTCCTCACCACATTGTTCCAGCATCACTCCTCAGCATCTCATCTACACCATCTCATAGTTGAAATGTACGTTCGTTCATCAAACCTTCATATGCAATATCCATATTCATCATTGCATTGCACACAGTATTGTGCATATCATGACAAAATTTATATCTCGGATTCTGAAGAGGCAACACCAAATTGCATTATTTTTATTTATAGTTTTTTGTTTTTTTCCCCTTTCTCCTTGTATGACAGCACTTTCCAGTATTGTATTTAGTGTTTGTCTCTTCATTTGACATACCATGTTTAACATTGCCATTTATATATGTCTGTTGCACTCGCAGGAGAATGTAAGTATTTGCATGCTTCCACTTTGTGTATGGCACTGGTGTCACTTAGGCGGTTGACCTGCAAGAGTAAGGAGAGTTCAGAATGCTGTAAACAGTATCTTCTTTTTCATCAATTTGCTTACTTTTGAATTTGTTTTCTCTCAAGAAAAGCTGCATATTTTCACTCAGTCTGTCAATGCATTGTTTTTTATTCTTTACTAAATAAATTTTCTTTTCTTCCATTGATTTCTTTGTGAAGAGGTCCCATTATGGTGACTGGTTTCTTTGGTCTCTCTCATTTTCTCTGGCTATTCAGGATTGTTAATTTCTTTTTGGTTTTGTAATAACTGTATATGGTTTTTTGATTTCTTTCATATTTTCTGTGTAGACCATATATTGGAGGAAAGTGAAGCAACATTTTCAGCTTTGATTGTCCAAGTGGCATAAGCTTGCTGTGGTTTCGGACAATTAGCACGACTATATGTGCACGGTATATGACGTGTATTTAGATGATGACACAAATACAGTAGAATACAACAAAGGGGGTTTCTTCAACATTTGGGATGCATATTATATATATATTTATATAATATATATTATATTCTTAGGCCTCTAAATGAAAGATATAAATATTATCCAGTAAACTTGCTTTGTTGTATGGAATAAATCAAAATGCAAAATTTATGAGTAGTGTAGGAAGCTTTTCTTGCTGTGTTGTCTTCTAACGTCACTGTTTGGTTGTGTTTTTGTGTCCTGAAAGCCTGGAGAGAGGCGTGCAGCTATTGATACTCTTTACATTTGTAGGAATGTTTGCTGACGTATGAAAGTGGAACACTATACCATTTTTTTTGTTGGTCTTCGGCAAAACCAAAAATTTTGTTAAAGCACCTAACATCTGTTTTATGTGTTGAGTTGTCTACACTTTGATTTTGTACACATTTGACCCCTCCCAAAATCCCTCATTAGGGCTTACACTTTTGCTTTTTATTGTCTTGACCTATGAAATTTAGTTCATAGTATAGTATAATATGTATCAAAGTGTTAAAATATTTATCTCAAAATAGTAGAAAAGTGCTCAGTGTTGGACGTTTTGGGTACTCTGAATTGGCAGCACCATACCTCTTTGTAATTTTTCTGAACAAAAAGGCATTTTCTGTCTCCGTTGTATGTGTGGGGTACTTACTTGTTTTGTGTATCTTTTCTGCCTCCTTTCCTTTCTTCCTCATTACTTCTACCACTTGTCTGAGTGCCTCTCTGTCTCCATGACATGTGTCCAGTTTGATGTGTTAACACCCCCTCCCCCCCTCCCCTTTTCGAGCTTAAAAAAAAAAGAAGAGAAAAAAAAAGCAAATAACACTTTTTTTTTCTCTCAGATCGGGCTATGTGCATTTCTCCTGTTGATGCTGTTCTAAGAGTTGTGGCAGGAACTGCTGGTGTTCTGATTCTTTGAGTCTTTCCTGTGTCTCTTCTCGTTTACTGGCTTGTGCCTTGCTGTAGAGACTATGCCATTGTCTCTATTTTTCTTCTTTGAAATATGCATCCTGTGATTCTGAGAATAATCTGTTGGGCATGTGAAGGAGTGGGCTGCGTGCCCTTGGCGCCATGTTAGAGCTCAGATGTGATATACTCTTTTAATTCTTTTTATTGTTCGTATTGTCGGTGCCTCAAGCAATCTTAACTCAGTTTGGGCACTTTTTATGTCAGAGACAAAAAACCCAACTGGTTTTGTTGTGTTGTTTCCATTAAAAAAATCATGAAAAGCAAGAAAATTGCAAACCTTGACCATAGCATCAAACTGCATTTTGGTGATGTTAAAAGGTGCATCTTTGATAGAGCTTTGAGAGTGTGTGAAAGTGGAAAATTCTCAAAATTTGGACTTAACTGCCTTGCTTGCAGCAGCGATGATATGTTCATTGCAAAATGTTGCCTTGTGGTGCTGACTTGCCATTAAATTAGTGCTCAACTTACTGTTAGCTCTTACAGCTGTGACAGATACAACTGCAACTACAGCAGCAGCGTCATCAACAATGGCAGAGTTTTTATTGGTTGTTTTATCTTAGCGATGGTTTCATGAAGTGTTTGTCAAGCTTGATGTGGTGTTGGTGCATTGTCTCTGCTGTCTTGATAGACTGTTCTCATAATTATGGCTTTAACGCTCTCTATATGGAAATGTTTTTTGCGAGAGAACGCGCCTCATGGCATTGGTGCCTTTTTTGAAGAGATTGTAATTTATGATAGTCAAACAGTAAATAACCGGTTATTTTCCAAAAATGCTTTTTAAGATACCTACACCAGCGGGTAAACTTTAATTTCTGATGCAGCAGTTTCGTGAATTTATCCCGGCTGTTCTAAACCATTGCATTTGAAGCTTACTAATTTTTTCCATTTGTCTCCATGTTCAATAGATGTTCTTAGTAGTCAGTGCATTGAAAATTTTGTGTATTTTTGGCCAAAGAATTATTAATTTGAAAAAACAAAAAACAAAAAAAGATAATAACACATCCCATGTAGCTGAGATCTCTTGACATGGCTGTGAGAATAGGTAGACATTCATTAGGTTTGTATTATTGTAAAAAGTGTAGTTCGTGTATTGTGCTCACGCTGCAGAGATGAATATTTTAAAACATTTTAAAAAAATGAAAACGTAATCATTTGATGAAAAAAATTAAATGCAGGAGTCGGAATCAATTTCCTATCACCACCATTTATACATGATACAATTTATCAAGGTCAAAGCTTTGGATAGGCTGTATGGTAATTTTTATAGTAAAATGTAATAACATACGATTTCTTCCTTTTTTAATCATACATTGTATATTTTCATGAAGGAGCATATGACTAAATTAGCATAATTTCTTTTTTTTTTAATATGAAAAATCTAAAAATATGAATCTAATATAGCTTCTTTTAGTTATGTTTGATAATCAGGGAGATAAATTCTGATAATGAAATTTGACTCCAAAAATTGTATCAAAATATTTTTTTTTGTTAAAGAAAAGAAAGCCAGTTAGACCCTGTTATTTTGTCTACTGAAATCATATCAAAATTAGTATTGTTTTTTTTGGGGTGGGGGTGGGGGTTTAGATAAGCGTATGAGCGTAAAATTTCCAAACTCACCTCGACTCTGTACTAACTTATACTTTATTTTGTGTTCATGCATGAGTCAAATCTTCAGACGACTGTTATAACTGATGATTCTGACCTATATTTGACTGACCTGTTTTCGCTTTTGTTCTCAGCTCCAAGGTTGACAAGATGACAGACATCGTCACAGGCAATCCATTGGTAGTGAAGATGATAGTGGGATTCAACAGGTGTGTGTTTCTGTGTGTGTGTGAGTGAGAGAGGGAGAGGGAGAGAGAGAGAGATGTCTGTCTCTGTATTTGTATCTGAGTGAGAGAGAACTCAAGTATTTGTGTAAGATACAGGGGTTTTTTTTATAGTAAAGAAATTTACTCTTTGTGATCAGAAATTAGTTTCAGGTATACCTTAAACTCACCATCATGTGTCAGAAATAGAATTTTTATGGCTGTGTTCTATGGCATAAGGAATTAAAAGTACAGCCCATTATTCAATAGCAAGTGGTTGATAGATGTTCTGTGGTCTGCTCCTTCGAAATTAAAAAAAATAATTTTTTGATCGTCTTAATCTGTTCAAGGTGAAATCCAGCAGTTAGAACGCGGACTCTGCATTAAACAACTTCCATTACATCCAAACTGTGGAAAAGTAATGTTATTTATCATGCAACTTTTGTGCTTTTATACCTTTCAAAATCAACTCAATGCGGTAGAGAGTGGTCTTTTAAAGTTTGTCAATGAAAGGGGTACTAAGATAACCAATTGGAAAATGCATCAAAAGTTTATCTAGAAAAGAATAGCACCCACTGCAGTTTGTTGTGTTGGCGCTGATGTGATATTTTTGGTCTGTTTTCATGTTTGTTCAGGAACCAGCGTGGCCAGAATGCCCTGAAGGAGATGCTGAGTCCTCTGATCACCAGCGTCATCGAGGACAGAAATCTGCGCATCAACACTAACCCTGTGGAGGTGTACAAGGCCTGGGTCAACCAGACAGAGTCCAGCACTGGCAAAGCCAGGTGGGGGGACTATTGGTCTTGCTGTTAACACACACTCATGAGTTGTGCTCTCTCTCTCTCTCTCTCTCTCTCTCCCTCCCTCCCTCCCTCCCTCCCTCCCTCATTAAATAACGCAGAGAAAAAAGTACACTAGGTCTTCTGAGTGGTCTGTTTTACATTAGAAGTAAACACTTCAGCCTTGAAACGAACAAACCTACAAATTCCAGCAATTGTGTACCTTTCTTTTAACCAATAGTACTTCCTGTTTTGTATGTGTCTTGTCTATTCTTAGAGATCTGAATTTGTGAATAAAAGTGTGTGTTGACCCTTGCTTCCTATTCTTGCTGTTGCAGCGGTCTGCCATATGATGTGTCAACGGAACAAGCCCTTAAACATGAAGAAGTCCGTACACAGATAGAAGAAACTATCAAGCGACTGCAGGGAGTCACAGATCGTTTCCTCAACAAGATCCTCTCTTCTTTAGACAGCATCCCGTGAGTTCACTATCTGTAGCTTCAGAGTAGTCAAAATGAGTATTGAATTTGTAGAAAATGTTACAGGAGTGCTGCTGTCGTTGAAAGGTTGACGCTGAATATGTTTCTACAATTTGTATTCTATATATCTGATATAACGGGACTTTATTTGTCACATTGGAGGTGATGACAAAATAAGCTTGGTGTTTTCTCAAATAAAACTGTTTAGTGAATGCTGCTTTTTCTTTTTTAAATGTTGGCCATTGTGCCTAGCGAGAAAAGGTCTTTCAGTTATTAGTGAATGATTTTCAGCACATATGACTCAAAGAACTTACTTTAAAAAAGAAAGAACTCTATGCATGTGGTTTAGAAAGACAAGTCTGTAAAAGTCTTATTGATAAATTTGTACTGTACCTTTTCTGTGTTAGGGAGACACTGTCCTTTTTCTATTACATGTTTGGAGGTACTGTGGATCTGGCTAGTCTACAAAATTAAAGAATATTTTCTCATTTGTTCCATCAGGTACGGGATGCGTTACATGGCCAAAGTAATGAGGGAGTGCCTGTTGAAGAAGTTCCCAGATGCACCAGAAAAAGATGTTTTAAAGGTGGCTGTTCTGTATTTTTTCTTAATTTTAGCAACAGTTTTATCATTGACATCACAGCAGTATGAAGTTGTTGGATTTTGAAAGAATTTGAAAGCTTTTTAAGTTCGGTTCCTAAGTGGGACTTTCGTTTCAGCCTTTTAGTTTATTTGCTGATGCCCATGAAAGACCTTTTTTTTTCTTCTGAAAATACAAATTACCATTCTCACAATGTTAGAACTCAAAATAGGTAATAAGATGGTGGAAAATATTGTTTACCTTTAAATGAGCGGGCATGCATCATACTGCAATCTATAAAATAGCCATTTGAGAAAAAAAAGTAGGGAATCATTATAGATGTACTAGAAGTTAACGTAGCAAAAAAATGTCATGTGCGACAAATAAGTGGAAAGTTATTATTTGGATCTACCAAGTTTAAGTCGGAATGGCAGGTGCCAGGTTGTAGGATTTACACAGATATTTTGAGTTGTGGTGATTCTGTGATCTTTGTGATATGTTTGTGTGGAAGGGACATCAATGCATCAAAGCCTGTACTTGAAAGATACATAGATATCAATCTAAATTGATGTTGTTGGTTTATTTTACAAGTAGACCAGTGTACAGTGTATCTTTGAAATTGCCTTCCGAGTTTTTAAAGTTGAAGGTGGTTAGATTCAGTGCCCCACAAGGAAGGGAAAAAAACAAAAATAAAGTTAAACTGAAACAAATCTGTTCACAGATTGTTGGCAACCTGCTGTACTACCGCTACATCAACTCGGCCATTGTGGCCCCTGATGCTTTTGACATCATCAACGTCGGGGCGGAGAAAGCTCTCAGCAGTGACCAGAGGCGTAACCTGGGCTCCATCGCCAAAATATTACAGTTTGCAGCTTCTAACAAAGGGGTGAGTAAGCGTCTTTGTAATGAGAAATTCCTGTCTTTTAAAAAAAAAGTTAATTATTTGGAGTAGTTGCTGTCTGCAGAACGAGAATGAATGGTGTTAACATTTTCAATGGATGTGACTTTTACACTTTACTTTCTCTTGTTTGTTGTCTTGTTTTTGTAGTTTGAAAGTCTATAGCGCTATCATAGAGTTCATTTAGTTTAAATTCTGTAAACAGAGATAATGAGATCTTACGCAATGGAAAGAAAAACTAAAATTTTTAATTTGTGTGGGTGTGGCAGTGTGGGCATTTTTGGGTATGAAGTTTGTATGTATGTTTCTATATACGTATATATGTAGACACGTACACGCAAATGCTGCTGTGGCTTGTCATAGTTGATTTGGATATATCAGGATTTTCAAGCACTGATGTCTGTTTTCTCCTTATTTTATATGTGTAGTGGTGGACAAGTCCAATAAGCAATGATCATTCATTCATTCCGTGAAGGAAAACAGCAGTTCTCTGTAAATTTAGAGATCAACAGAGTGTTGTTAGTTCAATTTTTTAAAATCAGTCCATCAGTACAGCAGAAAGAAAAGCTTTTCTGCTCATGCTGTTTGCTTTTCCTGACCATTGTACATTTCTTTCCTGTGAATAAATTTTGTCATAAGACATTCTAGCCAAAATCAAGTCAAACTGATGTCATTGAAATTTACAGTTGTTGTCTTCGAAAGGAAAGAGTATCAATAGTTTCTGTGTGTTGTGAGCGATTAAAATGTCTTAATTTTGTTGACTTTTTCTCAGTTTGGGGGAGAGAGTGCGTACTTGGCCAGCATGAATGACTACATCAGAAACGCCCATGAAAAATTCAAGTAAGAGTTTGTGACATTCATATAATTTCATCATAGATTTGTTCTGTAAGTACTAATGAAAATAACTCCGGCAGAATACTGAGCTAGCTTTTTTAGTTTGATTTTATGAATTCTTTCTCAGTTTGTTGCCAATGTAAACACAGAGATGGAGGGTAGATCTTCCATGTACGAGCTTGCAGTAAGGGGTAAAAAGGTTTTGACTTTTCTTTCCTTCATGCTCTCTAAAGTGAAGTTGTAACTAAGAGCCTAACAAATAACTAGAATACTAAGTTTTTAAGAAATCTGAAAATACAGCATGCTGAGTTATAACTGCAAATATTAGTATCTGTCTCCTAATCATGTGGGTAATTTTTTATTTAAATTGTAAGATTTATCTCTTTTTTTTTTCTTCCTTCAACTATTCATCTTTTTTTCAATGGTGATGTTCCTACATGTTGTACATTTTGTAAAAGACATCTGAATTTATTTTCTATCGGATCCGGATGTGAGTTGTGAATATTTTCGCCCCGCAGGAAGTACTGCCTGTCAGCGTGTGATGTTGAGGAGCCAGAAGCTCGGTTTAATGTGGATCAGTACAGTGATGTCACCATGATTGCCAAGCCAGTCGTGTACATCTCTGTGGGGGAGATTGTGGATACACATCAGGTACCATATTGTGTCAATAGCGCTATAAAACGTATGATGTAACTATAACTCAAAAACTCGAAGCAAAATATAAGGTATCAAGGTCAGGCTTGTCACTGCCGACTTGGGTAGCAATGAAGTTTTCATTTTACAACTGTATTGCAGAACTGTAGCAAAATGTGTGCTTTTCAGTTCTAGTTGGGAAAATCTCTGTGTGCAGCCTTGTAGTGTCATGATATTACTGTGATTTGCTCATTCTGTTGTTTCTGTCCGTCCGTCCGTCTTATTCCCCCCCCCCAATTTTCAGTGACTGGTATTGTACTAATGTGCTTCTCTTTCAGTCAAACTCTGTCAAATTTCCCCCATTCCTGTGTTGCGGGGGGTTGGCGGGTGCTCTGGTGTGGTTTCCTCCTTCTTTCATATCAAACATCTATGGTCCTTATCTCTCCTTTTTTATGTTTGTTACTCTCTTGCAACGCCTCTAATCTTCGGCACTTGTATGACCTAATTGTGTTGCAAGTGCCGTTAAAAAAACTTAGTAAAACTTTTTTGAAAAACCTGTTTCTATGTGTGTCCAGCTTCTGCTCAAACATCAAGACACAATTGCGCCCGAGGGTGGCGATCCCCTCCATGAACTGCTGGAGGAACTGGGCGAGGCCCCGACCATCGACGAGCTGCTGGGTACAGAACTCACGGGTGATGAAGCTGCTAACGACGCACTGCGCTCGCAGATGGCGAAAACGGAAATCTCTCTGACGCTGTCCAGCAAGTTTGAAGTTCACACAGATGACAAAGCAGATATGAAGTCTTTGCTTATAAGGTGGGACTCGTCAGCTGTCTGGAGTGCATCTGTTTATCATATATGATTTAGAGGTGTTTTTACGAATTTCCTTCCTGAACGCTTTTTAGGACTGAGTGTGTTGACAGCTAAAGCTGCCCTGTTGTTCTGGTTCTTCTAGAAAGCTTTTGGGTTGTTTTTTTTCTTTCTCATAACCTATGTTTTCCGCCCATTGTCTCAATTTAAATTATTGAGAAGACAGGCAAGTTCTACTCAGTGTGGGGCAGGGCTCAAGGGGTTAATTCATGCTTTTTGAGTGTCGTTCATTGAATATTTTATAGGCCCTACTTATAGATGGGCTAATGCAATAGGTGGTGGTTTGAGTGTGATCCTGGAAAGCCCTAGTTCTTTTCTATCTCTCGTTGGACCTCTGTGCCTTGTCTTTTCCCCAATGCCAAATGATCGTTTTCGAGTCGAGTCGGTGTAGTTCTCTTAAGCTCATTTCAGTTTAGATGTGGCATTCCTTCATCTCTAGGTCCTGCCTCTCAAGGAGCCTGAATATCAGGGGACTACAACTTTGACTGACATCTGGTCTTCTTTACTTATTCTGAAGGATAAAGCGTATGATTGTTAACATTACTGCAGTATCTCTTCCCTATTCTGAAGGACAAAGTGTATTATTATAATGCTGATGAGGTATCACTTCCTTATTTGTTCTGTTTCTTATGTCTGTAGGACAAAAGATATGATAATTGCCGTTGAATGGATTTCTCTTCCTTATCTTCCCTGTAGGACAAAGCTTATGATCGTTGACTTGATATCTCTTCCTTATCTACTCTGTAGGACAAAGTGTATGAGTGGGAGGTTGGCGGGTGCTCTGGTGTGGTTTGCTTCTTCTCTCCTATGAAAAATCTATCTTCCTTATCTCCCCTTCTTCTTTTTTATATTTGTTACTCTCTTGTAACACCTCTTGTCTTCTGGCGCTCATATGATGTTATGCAGTTGTGAGAGCCGTAAAACCTCTACTAAAACTAAAAGTGTATGACCGTTCATGTGATATCTCTTCCATATCTACTCAACCCTGTAGAATAAAGCGTATGATTGTTGACGTGTATCTCTTACTTATCTACTCAACTCTGTAGGACAAAGCGTATGATCGTAGATGTCATATCTCTATCTTATCCACCCTGTAGGACAAAGCGTATGATCGTAGATGTCATATCTCTATCTTATCCACGCTGTAGGACAAAGCGTATGATCGTAGATGTCATATCTCTATCTTATCCACCCTGTAGGACAAAGCGTATGATCGTAGATGTCATATCTCTATCTTATCCACCCTGTAGGACAAAGCGTATGATCGTAGATGTCATATCTCTATCTTATCCACCCTGTAGGACAAAGCGTATGATCGTAGATGTCATATCTCTATCTTATCCACCCTGTAGGACAAAGCGTATGATCGTAGATGTCATATCTCTATCTTATCCACCCTGTAGGACAAAGCGTATGATCGTAGATGTCATATCTCTATCTTATCCACCCTGTAGGACAAAGCGTATGATCGTAGATGTCATATCTCTATCTTATCCACCCTGTAGGACAAAGCGTATGATCGTAGATGTCATATCTCTATCTTATCCACCCTGTAGGACAAAGCGTATGATCATTGATGTCATATCTCTATCTTATCCACCCTGTAGGACAAAGCGTATGATCATTGATGTCATATCTCTATCTTATCCACCCTGTAGGACAAAGCGTATGATCATTGATGTCATATCTCTATCTTATCCACCCTGTAGGACAAAGCGTATGATCGTTGACGTGATCGCCTGCCAGCCGGGGGACAACCTGGTGCTGGTGCTGGACGCTCCGTGCAACCAGCAGCAGGAGGAGCTGCATCAGGCGCTGGTCAAGAAGCGGGACCTCATCGACAAGAAGGCCACACAGACGCAGAAGGACAAGGGCCAGAAGCTTGTCAGACACGCCTCCATCTTAGGGGATACCAGGTCAGTGGTGGTCAGTTGTCGATCAGCCAGTTCAGCCGCTCGAATGAGTTGCATTCTGAACTGGACATTTTAATGGATTTTTAAGGTATGTGTAGATAAGAAAAATGAGTTTGCTATGAAAAAACTATGATGGCATTCAGTGTTTTATGATTTATTTTAGAGTGTACAGCACTCTTCTCATTTCATGCAAACCTGGAGAATATTTGTAGATAAGCTTTAACCTGTGTGTTGTATAAAAATTATTATTTGGGGGCAAAAAACATGTGCCGTGTTCTAGTTCTGACCTGCTGTAAAGTTTGCTTATTTCAATCCTGATTGGTACATTTTAGCTTTGTAAGTTGGAAGGAGGCCATGGGTCTGACTCTTGTGTTGGTAAAATAAAAATGTTTGAGGTTGGAAAGGGCTGAAACTTTGTCTCCAACATTGTTGCTAAGGGTTGCCGAGTGGGTGGTTAGTGGGCACCTCTGTTAGGCTCTCCATCTTTCTTCTTCCTCTATTGATTTAATTTATTTTTCTTACTTTTTCCCTGCACCAAATAGCCGTTCTTGCAGCAATGTGTTTCTCTTTACTTGAAACAGGTTGCCAATTGAGGTGATGAAAACCAAGGTGAAAGCCAACCTCCAAAGCCTGGAGTTGGCCGGGATGGTGAGCAAACAAAACAAATATCAGGCGTTGCTCAACTCCATTGTGCAGGTATGTGTAGTCTATTCCTGTGGCTTTTGATATAATAATTTTGAGTTGTAGTTATGGTGAGCCAGCAAGATGATGACCATATTTTGCGAGGAATAGATTAGGACAATAGCAGTGTGGTATAGGGATAGAAGGAGCAAACCGCACCTGAGCTTCTGGAAATATAGGTGTTTACAGTATCTTTTTTTTGTTTTTGTGGTGTGTGTCGTTGAAGGGTAGACTAGTGTAAGGTGCTTTTTATTGTCATGGTCACAGCACAGTTGCCTAAGTCATGTTTTGTTGCCAGCTGAAAACTTTGAAAAGACAGTTAGTCGACCTTAATACCTGAGGATGAGTGAAAGTGATCTCAATAATTTGATTTTTAATAAAGAAAACAAAACCCTGCTATGTTGTGGAAAGGAAACAAGGAGCTGGCATTTTTAACGTACCGATACCTAGACACCTGAAATAAATGACTTTGTCAATTGTGCTATGACTGTGTTATGTTAGCTTGAAAGGATCATGCTAGACGGAAATGTCACTCGTCTCATGTTTAGACTGTTGAGTGTGTCCTTGGACTGTTAGTTGTATTTCATTATGAAACGGTATGTGATTTTGATTTCTAATTAGTAATAGTTTTTGTTACGGGTGGCTCTGTAAAGTCAGCAGCACTCATGCTTGTTTGTTGTCTTGTCTACTCCTCAGGACATTCGCAACCAGCGTCGCTACAGAAATAACCGCAAGCAAGAGCTGATGCGTCTCCGGGCCACCATCAAGAGTCTGAGTGAAAAGCGCACGTTCTACGAGTCTCAGATCGACTATTACAACCAGTACGTGAAGACATGCATGGACAACTTGCAGCAGAAGACCAAGTAAGTGGATCAAGAGATATGCTATGGCTGCATGCAATTTGGGTTGATTCTTGGTTGAATGCAGCTGTTAAAACCCGCGCCTTAAAAATCAGATTTGATTTCCAATTTTTATCTAAAAGGTATAGTGGGTAATGTATTGTGGTGAGTCCTGCCACAAAGACTAATTCTTCATAACAGCTTTTAACTAGTCATTTTCTTGCACATGGGGTATACATTTTTACAGTCCTGCAGCTGCCATATATATATATTTTTGCAAAAAATTCGGATAAAAAAAATTTGTGACGCACTATTCACTCTAAATGAATGAAATCTGGAACTTAACTCTTGATTGCAATAACACATAATTGTTAGGGAATATGTGTACTAGGTACAAATATAACCCATTTGACATAATGCACTGGAAAGCTTTTATAAGCACAATGTACACCACTACACTAGGTATAAAAAATATTGGGCATATCTTGCCAAATAGAAAGTCAGGCTGAGAATATCATTTTAATGAGATTTCCTTTATATTTAGTTATGGGCAAATCTCATTTTTGGCCTGTCGCGAGTGTGTAGCTATCGGGTGACAATAGGTGTTCCAGGTATTCAGGAGGGTTTGTGCAACGATCGTCTTTATTTGATGTAAGGGGGAATGTGTTAACAATATTGAAATGAAGGTGGATAACTGATAATATATGTGTTGTTTTGTTTTGGAAAAATGTTGAGTATTTCATGTGTGTGTGTGTGTCTGTCTGTCTGTCTGTCAAGTCCATTCCAAAGTCCATGGTGTGTAACTGTAAGGTGAGCTGTTCTGTGCATCTTTTGTTCATGGTTTCTGCTTGTTTTCCTCGGTCCCTAGGAAAAATCGCAAGTCTGGCTTGTTCCACCGTGGAGACAGCAAGAAGCAGGGATCTGTGACGTACACGGCCACACGCCTCCACGAGAAGGGAGTGGTTCTAGAGATAGAGGGCTTGCCCCAGAACCAGTGAGTGTACAGCTTACACTGTCTGTTGATGAGTGGGTGGGGAGAAGCTTGCTTAACACTTTGACGACCTTGACATTCTTATTTCAGCACGTCTTAGAAGACAAAGTGTGGATGGTTGGTGGGTGCTCTTGTGTGGTTTGCATCTTCTTTCCTATCAAACATCTATCGTTTTTATCTCCCCTCCTTCTTTTTTGTGTTTGTTACTCTCTTGTAACACCTCTAATTTTTGGCACTTATATGACCTTATTGTGTTGCAAGTGCTGTAAAACACTAACCAAAACTAAAAGAGAAGACAAAGCTTTTTGTGAAGTTGGAAAAAGTAGAAGGCAAGTCTTTGTTACCAAGAAATAAGAAGGAGATAAAGCTTTTTTAAACGCTTTTCCCTCCTCAATTGTTCTTTTTACAAGATTGACGAGACTTTGTCAGTAAGTCTTATTTCTCCCCTATTTAATGTTGGGATCTGTATCTTTCTTTCTATGACTGGATGACTCTCATTTATGGATGTACTTTTCCCTTCACTTTAAAAAATGACTGCTTTGCTTATTCTTCTTTGACAATAAAAAGACTCATTGCGCCATAGAATAAGGTCTTTAGATTTTAGGGCTCGATCCTGTAACATTGCAGCCTCAGTGCTTTCTTGTCATATCTCAATTTTTAATAACAGTGAAAACAGTTCATAAAAAAGCGTGAGCTAAAGAAGACGTCACATTTTCAATGTAAAAAAAAAAAAGAAAGAAAAAACCAACAAGAAAGCACTGATATCATGTTTATGTTGGCAACTGATGCATGATGAATTGTCCTCATCTTCCTGCGTGTTCTCAGATTCAAGAATGTTGTCTTTGAGATTGGGGCCACGGAAGATCCTGGGGTGTTCTCTGTCAACGCCAAGTTCATGGGAGTGCAGATGGACAAAGTGGAGCTGGTCTTCCAGGTCAGGAGCTTGTGTGTGTCCCCAGCCGTCACGTGCCATGCGTCTTTGCCTCTGTGACGTATATGTCAATTTATTGCCACGCGTTTTTGCTTCAATGACTTTTATGTGAATTCATTGTGTTGGGGTATCTGTTGTTTGTTCCCTTGTTCCAGGTAAAAGGTGGGTGTTTGCTCTTGTAGGATCAGCTCTTTGTACTTCTTCCTGTGGTCCTTTTGTCATTATAATATATTTTTGGTGAAATGAACCCATCATCATACTGGTTCGCTGTGACTTATAAGCTACAGCAACTGTGGACAACAGCATTCTAAATAGTGCTCGACAGTCGACATTTCAACTTTTCATTCTGGGAACTGTATTTATGGGTGGTTGGCAGGTGTTCTGTTGTGCTTTGCTCTTTCTTTTCCATCAGATATCTATTGTCCTTTTCTCTTCTCCATAAATTCGTATTTATTACTCTCTTGTTATACGTGGGTGGTTGGCGGGTGCTCTGGTGTGATTTGCTCCTTCTTTCCTATCAAACATCTATCGTCCTTATCTCTCCTCCTTTTTTGTGTATGTTACTCTCTTGTAACACATCTATTCTTTGGCACTTTTATGACCTTATTGTTTTGCCGTAAAACTCTTACTAAAACTAGAAATCTTGTTATACCTCTAATCTTTGACATTTTTATGACCTAATATGTTGCAGGTGCTTTGAAACTTGCTAAAACAGAAAACAAACTGTATTTGATTATTGTTGGCTCTGTTCATGACATCAAAATAGTTTTACTTTTAGAACTTTCTGTCCTTGCCCCCTTAAATGTTTCTGCTGTGTATTGACGTGCTTCGCTTGTCTCAAACAGAAAAGAAGACTACTTTGATAAACTAACGGTCCCTTTATCTCCCAACGCACTCGTCTCTGTCTCTCCATCCCTCTGAACAAACCACACTTCTCTCTGTCCACAGGACTTGCTTCAGCTCCAGTATGAGGGTGTGGCCGTCATGAAAATGTTCAACAAAGCCAAGATCAACGTCAACCTGCTCATCTTCCTCCTCAACAGAAAATTTTATGGCAAACAGCTCGGCAAATAAGGCAGACTTTTTTAGGCTTAGATATTTTATATTAACCCCTCCATTATTTTCTTTTTCCCCAACCCCAGCTTTTGAAGTTTGTTAATAAACAAGAAAAGAACATTCTTTCCCTCCTTAATGATGTTGTTTTAAGCGTGAATCTGATATATTCCAGTGGTGCTCTAGTTTTTATTGCGGTCCAATTTTACAGTCTTATTCACACGTGTTTGCGCACACATGCTGTTTTACGACTTTTTTCTTTTCTTTTGCTGGAAATGATTGTTAAGTACACAGTGACGGAAATGTTCACCCTATGCACAATAATCATGGTTACTAAACAGTGATGATCCTTCTGTTGAGGGTATCGGTTTAGCGGTCTGTGTACTGTATCAACCACTGCTTGTTTGTTTCCTGTTACTTTTGGCATGAGAGTATGTTGGGAGTCTGTGGTAGGCGCACGTTGGGTGTAGTCACTCACGTGGTGTGGTCATCTCGCATACGGCAGGCACCACAGTGGTTTGTGTCTTTCGTGTTTGTTATGCAGTAAACCCTGAGATTATAGAAACAAGGTCAATGTTGATGCACAAATCTCGCTGAGATCTGAAGATATGACTTGTACACTGTTTTAGAAATGTGACTGTTGTGTGATACTCGGCTTGTACATGTACATATATATACCTTACTGTCCACACTAGTGATAATGTTATATGTTGTAGGTGCTGCTTCTCTTTGTCCATCTTTCATTTCTGTCTGTCTTGCTTTTTCTTATGCCAATTGACCATGCGTGTGCCAATATGCTTCTCTTCTATTCAGATAAACTATAAGCAATGTGGAATTGATCAAAAATAGCTTGTTTGGGTACCTTTTATTTAAAAACCAGGACAACTTTCATTTACTTTTCACTTTTTTCTATATTCACTGAGCGAGTGTGGCTTTAAATGTGTTTAAGTTGCTTGACTTTGATAGGTATCAAGTTAGGTAATTGTAACTGAATCCTAGAAAGAATAATTTTAGCTTTTTTTTGCTTTCCTAATCTGTTTTTATGTATTGTAGTATGACAAGCAATAGCTGACTGCTGTTTTGAATGTTTTTTTAACCATTTATCATGTACCCATTTATGTAGGGTTTTTAGAGTATACTCAGTCTTTTCAATGTCTCTGTAAGTATATACAACTATGCAAAATTTTTAGAAAACTGACATCTACACAGGTACCAAGTGAACATCTTTGTGGTTGAGATCTGTTGAATTTCTGTTTTGTTATATGTTTTTCCATCTCCGTGATACTACCTGAAATACAGATCTGTATTAGAATGGAAACAAGGCAGCCAATGAATACTTTACAATAAATTTTGTGAACAAAGTTATCTATTTAGCTCATGTTCTTTTTCTTTTCAGTGCTTCCATTCATTGAAAGTTGTTAGTTGTCACTTGTGGCTTTGATTGTGTTTGGATTTTCTCTTTCTGGTTTCCATATATTGAAAATTTAGAAAATTAATTTGTTTTCTTCTGGAAAAAGGTGCATCCCAAACTTAAACTTCAATACTCTGTTGACTGGAGAGGTTAGGATTGATGCCTTGGTGCCTTTTGAGACAGATATTAGCCAGTGAAATTGTTTTTGGTGCCTCTTGATTGCATAAGGAGATTTTTCAATTGAAGAAAAAAAAAATAGAACCTGGTTGATGATATGTGCCAAAACTTACAGTTGGGATTGTGCCAATGAGAACTCTGCACATGGCAGAAGGTGACCAGCAGTGTTTACATGTTTTTCTCTCTTCAGTTTCTCATGAGTTGTCAAGTAATGGTGCGCCAAGACATGAGGTTCTTGATGTGCAAGTTCTAATTCATTAATGTTATCTTTACCTTGCAGAGTTATAGAAGCTCTAGTCATTTTTGTATAGTCTGTCTAGTGCTGACCATTGTTCTACCAAGTGTAGGAGGAAGTCTTCTGAATGAAACCCTGACTAGCACGAGTGTTGGCTGTATTTTCTTTTCCCCACTCTCCCTTCCCCCCGCCCTCCCTCTCTCTGGTACCTTAGGTCAAAGGTGAAGAGATTAAAATCAGCACTGACTGCCAGCTGTACATAGAATCCTCTTGAAGGATTTTTAGAACCACTCTGTTGCTGTTATTTCATTTTATGAATCTTTAAAACTCTTAAGACTGAAAAAGTATATCTGGTTTTTGATGATCTGAATTAGCTTTTTACTTCTTTTTTTTTTCTTTTACCAAATATGAATGTATATAACTATAAGTTTCGTTTTGTTTCATTTTCCTACTTGTTTTCTCAATGATTAGGTCTGTGAGGTTTTTGTCTCAGTCATATGTTAGTTCAAGTTTCATTCTTCGTTGTTTTTCCTAAAAGTTGAATGTTCCCTGTCCATCTTGTGCCTGTTCAGTTGGTGTTACTTGTCGATCACTTTCTTCTTGCATTCTATCTGAGATTGGGCAGCTATGACTTGTTATGGCTGTGTTTTACTTTTAATGAAATGTCTCTTTTATGAAATTACAAACACTTTGTCCACGCGCCTTTTATTTTCTTTTTAACTTGTACTAGTACCATAATAGTTTTTGAGAGACTGCAAGTCAAGACAGCAAGAACACTGGTAGAAATAAAGTGATAACAACAAGGCTTCGGAGTCGTGTTAAGTTCAGGGTGGGAGATGAGGACTTTCCTATCATCCGTCAAAATTGGACAGTGCAAATGAAAGAATCAATATTTATTTTTAACTGACATGATGTTTCATTCAGTTTGGTAACAAATTACTTTGAATTACATGATGTGCAATGTCCACCTTCCTTTTCATTTCTGTGCGTTAGGTGGAAGTTTTTATGCTACTGTTAAGGCAAAATGTGATGAAACATTCCTTTTTGAACTCCATAAATTTGTTTGTGAACAAAGTTCAAAAGTTGAAAGCAAAACAGAGGGACAACTTAAAGGGAGTCAATATTTGTATATTATGGTTTGCCCTTTTTGAATTCTAACTGCTGTCCCTGTCATTTTTATATATTGAAATATTTTAGAATTGTTTCTGTGATCCCTTATTGATGCTGGGACAAAGGGCGACATTTCCCGACCTTTCTGCCCAGGTCTTCTTGTTGTTTTACCACAAAGGATATTTGAAATTTACTTCAAAGCTTGTGAGTGTGGTCCGGTCACCTTGTTTATTGGATGTCTCAAGTAAATGTACCGATGGCCAACAGGCACATATATACATAGTGCATATACAATGAACAACATCATAGTATTGTAAGTTACTGATGTTCATGATGCATTCATCAAGAAAGTTTTTTTGTTGAACAAACTGTTAGCAAATGATCTTATGTGTATACAAGTGCCTTATGAGAATTGTCTCACTTGTGCAGGGAAGAGATTACGCTTGGCACATATCACAATCCAATGCTGTATCAGTAAAGAAATGAAGTCTGTGAAGATTTTATTTTTTCAAAATCAGTTATTTTTCATCTAAACATCTTCTGAACTGTTTCTTGAAAGTGAGACTTTTCACTGTCAATAGGTATTTTCAGTAAAAAAAATTTCATCAGGGAGTCAAGTGTGCTCAAGTTTTGTTTTACAAATAAATGTGTAGGGTGTTGCACCCTTGGCGGGAAAACTCTGTCTGTCTGTCTGTCTGTCTGTCTGTCTGTCTGTCTGTCTGTCTGTCTGTCTGTCTGTCTGTCTGTCTGTCTGTCTTTAAAATTAAAATTGAATGTATCTCTGACCTTTCTTCCATACCCACTGGTGGTTAATTGTTCAAGTTATCATGCTGAGCTCTGTCTTGCGCATTGTTACCTCTTTCCTTATTTCCTGTGCCTTGAGGAAAGAACAGATATCATTTGGGACCATACTCGGTGCAACTTGAAACAATATCGTGAAATTTTTGTGCAATTGATCACAGACGTAAAGCTTTACTGAGTCAGTGACATAGTTGTAGATATTCTGTATCTGTGGACCTAGTTCTAGTAACTTTTAAGTAAACTTTTTGTGTGTTTTAGTAGATTATTGCCAAGCAAGTACCCCAGTAATGTTGCCTTGTACTTGCTCCTTGTACATAATACAATGTATCATCATCTCAGTGCTGGGGACTTTTGGAAAAGAAGCCCAGTCATTGTATCCATGGTTTTATTTCACTTTTAGTTACTCAAAGGATTTTCTCGTAGTGTGAAGTGAAGAATGTGGATTGTCCTGCTGCAGAAATCTCCTGGTGGTTCTTTAGTGCCATGATGATGATGTTACTCTTAAGTCTGCACAGTGATGAAAAGTGTGCCGGTGGATGTGTTGTCGCTACATTGTATATAGTCTTGTTCCGGGAGGAGACAATTGTATCTATCATTTAGAGCATGGAACTTCATGTTTCTGATTTCTCTTTTTCATACTTGTTCTAGTCTTTTCCTCCTTTGATGTAGTGTACTGTCTCTTTCTCTCTCTCTGTATACTGTATGTCTCTCCTCCCATCTCTCTCTCTCTCTCTCTCTCTCTCTCTCTCTCTCTCTCTCTCTCTCTCTCTCTCTCTCTCTCTCTCTCTCTCCTTCAACCCCCCCCTCTCTCTCCCTCTCCCTCTCTCCCTCCCCTTCTCTCTCTCTCCCCCTCTCTCCGAATAGATATATAGATGGAGAGAGAGGCCCTTTCACAGATTGTACCAAATAAAAGAGCTTGTGGAGACGGTGGCCACTTCAATATATATATATATATATGTGTGTATGTTTGTGACTGGAACAAAAGGTAGTTACGTTTCTTGTTTTCGGATGATACTTACTGGTATTGAGAGCATAATTTTCATTTGCAGTCACGTAGTAGTCGCATGTGTAAAAATTTCTCAGGCAGCCGCTGGCACCACGCACCTGCGATTGAGGGACCAAGAACCTTTGAGCCTTGTGCCAATTTTTTCCATTTCCTGCTGTATGCTGTACGACTTTTACAATTGAGGTCCTTTACACTATGAGGATGATAGTTAGTTTCATTATTATATGGGTTCTCTTGGTATTCTTTGCTCTTTCCATATAGAAATTTGTGTGTTAGTTTCATTTTCAAGCATTTATCATTTGTCTAAAGATTACACATTGTGTTTTGTCACGCTTTCCCATAGAACAAAATTTTTCCTCTTTGTTTTTCGGGCATTCATCTCAGCAAACCACATTTAACGATTGAAAAGGCAAATTTTAGTCTCTGCTCTGGATTTTACAGCCCGTCTACAATCTAGCCTGTCTATTGCTGTTAGTCTCACTGGACAGAATTCTGACTACCAGTGAGTTCTGACACCACACATAACTGATCTGAATGTTTCAAGCTTCCTGCACTGGGAAAAGACTTTTATACTTTTCCTCTTCTCATGTTTTTTTTCCTGCTGTGTTTACTTTCCTATTTCTGGTTACTTTTGCCTAAGGAAGGTGTCTGAGAATGTGATACACCTGTAAACTATATAAAGCTGCATGTTAGCTTTTTATGTTGTATATTATTTATTTTGTATGGCAATATATTAGTAAAACCAAGCTTTGACAAAGATTTCTGTGTTCTGGCTCATTCTTATGTTTGTTCTCATGACTGTGTACTCGGGTGGTGCGGGTGGTTGGCGGGTGCTCTGGTGTGGTCTGCTCCTTCTTTCCTATCAAACACCTATCATCCTTATCTACCATCCTTCTTTTTTATGTTTGTTACTCGCTTGTAACACCTCTAATCTTCTGGCGCTCATATGACCTTACGCAGTTGCGAGCGCCGAAAAACCTCTACTAAACAAACTCGGGTGGTTGGAGGGTGCCACTGGGTATATCTGCCTTGCTTCTCTACTAATCGCAGGCAGTATTGCATACTGACGTAACTGCCTGTGTCCGCCTCTATTGTTTTCTATCAGTCTTGCTTTTCCTTGCTCAAAATGAATTGTGTCAATGTTGGGGGTTTTTTTTGGTGTTTTTTGTAAGTGTTTAACGATGCTCGCAACTGCATAAGGTCATATGAGCGCACGAGACATTAAACATTTTTAGTTGTTAGGAAATTTGGATTTTGCCCCAGTGGCGGCCGAAGCCTACTCTTATCGATTTAAAAAAACCAAGAGATCTCTAACGTGCACAACTTGCACACAGGACCTCCGAGATTTTTTGCCCTTGTCCGAGAAGGCTAGGTGTAGATCTTTCCTACCAGAAGATCAGGGGTGTGGCTGAAAGACAGCAGTAAGAAGGAGCCAAGGAGTAGCAATAGAAAGGCTGCAGAAAGAGTCAGAAGCCTAGAAGAAGGGGCAAAGGAGGTGAGGTGGTGGGGGCACAAAGCGGAGATGAAAGCAGACAACAGAACATTGCTAGAGAGCAGGAAAGGAGGTGAAAAGAGACAATTTTAGGCAACAAATTTTTTCGGTCGCTACCCGGATTCGAACCCGGGACCTTTGAATGAGAGGCGAACACTGTAACCTCGAGGCCACGAGAGCCCCTCTGTGTCAATGTGCTTCTGTTTCCTCAACCAAGCAGACAAACCACATAGGTTAGTGCCTGGTGTGTCCTACTCCTGCTTCTTTTAATTCAATGTTACCTTGAAGTTGGTGGTTGGACGGCACCACTGGAACTGGTAGCCTGGACTTCTTATCTTTCCCTCTGTATTTCTTATCCCTGTATTTCTTCCTTCTTTGTGCCCTGAAATGGTAATGACACTGTTCCATGTCAATGAGCTTCTCTTTACTCCCAAGAAAGATTGTATTGTTACTATTGTCCAGAGCTGTTCCACAGTGAGTCTGGGTGTGGTTAGTGGGTGCTCTGGTGTGGTCTGCTTCTTCTTTCCTATAAAACATCTATCGTCCTTATCTCCCCTTCTTCTTTTTTATGTTTGTTACTCTCTTGTAACACCTCTAATCTTCTGGCGCTCATATGACCTTATGCAGTTGCGAGCGCCATAAAACTTCTACTAAAACAAACAGAGTCTATTGTGCTGATAAGTCCTTTGAGCCAGTTTGCCCCAAGGACAAAAAAACTACAACTCAACAAGTAAGTATTCTCTGGAGGATGTAACATTTTTTAAATGCTTGTGGTATGATCTCAGGACTTTATGAGAAGCACTGAAGAGATTGTGGATGTTTAGGTCGTGACTAAATGCTCTACATAGAACAAGTGGGGGGCTCTCGTGGTCTAGAGGTTAAGGTGTTCGCCTCGCTTTCAATAGATCCCAGGTTTGAATCCGAATAGCGACCAAAAATATTCTTTCACATCCTTCCTGCTCTCTAACAATGTTCTGTCGTTTGCTTTCTTCTCCACTTTCTACCCCCACCCCCTCACCTCCTTTGCTACTCCTTGACTGTGGGTGATTGGCGGGTGCTCTGGTGTGGTTTGCTCTTTCTTTCCTATCAAACATCTATCATCCTTTTAATCTCTCCTTCTTTTTTGTGTCTGTTACACTCTTGTAACCCCTATAATCTTCGGCAGTTAGGCCTATATGAACTTATTGTGTTACAAGTGCCGTAAAACTTTTACTAAAACTAAAACTACTCCTTGGCTCCTTACTGCTGTATTTCTGTCACACCCCTGATCTTATGGTGGGTAAGATCTACACCTAGCCTTCTCGAATAAGGGCGAAAAATTTCGAAGGTCCCGTGTGCAAGTAGTGCATGTTAGAAATTCCTTGGGAGTCCAAAATGGACAAGAGCAGGCCGCCATTCAGGCAAGATTCAAAATTTCCTACCAACTGGAAATGTTTAATGTGTCCCGAGCGTTCATATGACTTTATGCAGTTGCGAGCGCCATAAAACACTTGCCCCCCCAAATTATAAAAAAATAGAACAAGCACAGATGAAGCTCCTGCTCCCCTGACAGGACCTGGCCTGACTTACAATATATGAGGAAGTGCAGGAACAATTTGGACATCACCTGTGTTAGAACTTGCATTCTATATTCTGAAAGTTGGCAGAATTCTAAACTAGTAGTGTTGCAGAATGCTCAACTGTGGGAGAGAACAAGCCAAAGGCCAGTAAAGGAAGATATTCAGGTGAAGAAATGGAAATGGATTGGACACACCCTGAGGAGACCCCGGACAAGCATCATCAGGCAGGCCTTAACATGGAACCCACAAGGAAAGCGTAAGAAGGGAAGACCTAAGATGAAATGGAGGCGAGCGGTATCAGCGGAAATTGAAAAAGCGGGGACATCATGGAAACAGATAGAAAAGGATGCTCAGGACAGGCTTCGCTGGAGTAATGTTGTTGATGGCCTGTGCTCCACTGGGAGTTAAAAAGGGCAAGAGAGAGAGTGTTGCAGGGAAAGATCAGGGAAACGTAGATTTTTTTAGAGCATCCGAGCAAAGGAATGAATGGAAAACCATGATCGCCGATGTCTTTCGCAGATCTGGCACTGGATAATGATGAGTGTTGCATTGTCTAGTTTAGACGGCATTAACAACTGTGGTTTGACAATGAAATAAATCGACAAACAACAACTTAATTTGCCCTTCTCTAAACAGTTTTTGATCAGAGATTCCGAGACTGAGTTCCAGATTTATACTGTTTGAGTCTGTCAGTTCACTTGCCTTTCAGTTTCTGACCATGTACTGATATTTCATCTAATCACTGTCAGACTAT